ACATTGGCTGCCTTCGGCTGCACTTTGGTCAGCGCTGAGCCGAAGTGCAGAAGGACTTCGACTCAGCCGATACAACATCTGGATCGGCTGAGGCGAAGCTCCGGCAGCTCACTCGCTCCTCCATTCACAGAACGTCTTGTATTCTTTCAAGGTTTTTTGTAATTGGGCGAGGACAGAGGGGGGTACAGGGGGCGACTGCAGCCCTCAGCTAGTGCAGTATTCATTTGTTTTCAGCTTTGAGTTATCAATCCTTCATGCCTGCATATCATTTGTAGACAGATGTAGGGACAAGGGGCTTTACTTGCTTATTGCATATGCTGACTCTACTTCCTCCCTAGTATAGCACAGTGACCTTCTCTAAGTGCAAGGGACAGGTCTGAAAACAGCAGACTCTCTGTAAGGCTCTTCACATACCTTAAAGTGACACTAAAATTAGGAGTTAAAACTTGAAAATACATTCAAGTACCTTAACTGTTAACAGAAATGTTTCTAATTTGTGTATCACTCGGCTGTAGATCCTCAAATCATCTCTGAATTGGCGCTGACACTGTCCTTCCTTCTGGAGGGGGCTACTTTTGTTCCCCATGGTCCCTGTGTGTGTTGTAAAGAAGCCACTGCTCCAAGCTCGCTCCTGTGATGGACTACAATCTCAATACAAATTAGTAAATGTGAGATTGTAGTATATCACGGGGACCATGAGGAACTGTAGTAGCCACCCTCCAGAAGGAAGGACAGTGTCGGCACCAATTCAGAGATGATTTGAGGATCTACAGCCGAGTGATACACAAATAAGATACATTGTTGTTAATAGTGAAGGCACTTGAATGCATTTTTAGGATGTAATTGCTGAGTTTAGTGTCACTTTAAAATCTAACCTGAACAATCACTAGCAAAGCTACCAAAACTATGTAATACAAGGATCTACCTATACAGTCCAATCGTTGTGTATGCAGTCAGGCAGGCCCTTGCACTACATACTTGTTTGATCTACAATCAGATTGTATTGTGTGTAGTGAGTTTGAGGCTCCCTTATCTTACCAGCTTGATGGAAGTGAATTGGACTGCCTTCTCAAGGATGGTCACTATAGGGAGCATTTACAAACCTGCATTATCCAAAATGTGAAAAAACAGGCAAGTTAAACTGTAAAAAAGAAGTCTAATAAAAGATTACTTTTAGTTAAACTTTCCGATAACATAAAATGTTTATTGGGGGGAAAAAAAAGGTAAATATTATAGAAATAAAGACAGAAAACGCACAAAAAAAATACATTTTTTTTCCTTCACAGCAATAATTAGGGTTGGTGGGTTTCACATTGGACGGTACAAATAAATATATTTTTAAAATGAGCATTTAAAATAAAATAGAGCAACATTCTTTGATAGCTGAATCTATCTCCCTTAAAGGGACCTTTGTGACATCAGATGGCAATATGAGGCACCGCCCCATCAACCTCGACAACCCATATAACCCCAACCCCCCTACCACCCACATACCCCCAACCCCCTGACCACATACTCCTACCTCTCACTACTAAGCCCCACCAATGTCATCCAACAGTCAAATAGCAGAGCCTCAGAGGTCAGAAGAAGTTCTGCTATTTGACCATTGAATGACAGGGGTGGGGGGGGGATCAGTGTCACTTTAACCAAGCTGGGCCTAGGACCCAAGAAGACCCCACAAGGACACAATAGCTGATTCAAAAATTAAAGCAGGTACTATAAGGTTCCCCTGATCTCATACACCAGGACTCTTTAGATTCAACATGGCAACTGCCCCAGGCCAAGGGGCTCTCAGACAGCCATTAAAAACCTTCTTTGAAGGAAATAAAGGTCAGAGAGGAAAGGAAGCTTCATCTGATCCCTCAGGATAAAACATGCTGGAGATGATTGCGTGTATATTTTCTGCCTGTCTCCATATGCAGAACATGGAGAAAGCATGCCATGGACAGATCTCAAGACAGTCCAATCCCAACTATACAGCTGACTGCCCTTTGATGTCTATGGGCAGCTGTACATGAGAGGAGACAACAGGGATTAATGTAATATTGTGCCGCTGCTTAGGTCTCTATAACTGTGTGCAAAGTCATTTTCCCTGTGAATGTTCGTTCTGTGCGAGTAGAGACAAAAATAAACATTCGTAGTATATTTTGAATATAATCGAATATAATGTAATGGTTATCTTTACCCTTTATGACCACAAGATGGATCTGAGGAGCACAGGACATATTTATTTCCTATGCGCCTCAGCTCCATCTAGTGGCCAAAGGAAATATATACGTCCTATGCTACTCGGCTCCATCTAGTGCCCATAATGGGGTATTACATTACATTCAACCTGGAAAGAAAATATACTTACGGGGTTATTCACAAAAGGGTGAAGAGATTGGAGAAGGCAGGAGAAGGGAACAATCTAGGGCAAAATAGCTGATTTGGAAAAAATCTCCAATTCAGCTCACTTTCCAGTTCAGCTATGTTGTCCTAGATTGGTCACTTCTCCAAACCCTTCACCCTTTTGGGAATAACCCTGTTAGAGTGTTCGTTTCTGCCTCTATGCACACACAACAAACGTTTACAAAGATTCGCAGGGTGAACGGCTCTGCGAATTGTTTTTAAGTAGTCCTCTCTGAAATTGCAAGTTAAAAATAGCTCATGCATGCGCACTGTGTGTCAGTTTTCACTCCATCCATATTTTACATTATCCATATGCCATTTTGCAGAGTCTATTCCCCTTACTTCTTCAGTATTACTAGGAGGTGATGAAGGCGGTGCTACCTTCTGAGGGAGGTGATGGAATCGTTAATTGAAAATATAGAGAGTAAGCACACCACAGAATGCTTTTGCAATAAATGTGTATACAACACATATAGAAGCTCTGTAGTACAAATATTCACGTCATACCACATGAAGCATAATACAAGGTGGGATCTCCCCAAAGAGGTCCTTGAGAAAGTGGGATCTCAATTCGTGGAGTTTCGGAGGTGGGATCTCCCCAAAGAGGTCCTTGAGAAAGGGTATTTTACCCCCAAAACGTTGGGTTCTTCCTCCTCCCTCTTTTCACCACTGTCTGATTCTGCTTCCTCTCTCACGACTCTATTTGGGGTATCAACTTCTTGTATGTATTCACAACATCAGCTGCTGTAGGAGTATGTGGTGCTCACGTGTGGTGTACCCATGTACATGCATGTATTCTTTTGGATATAGGTTAGAATTAAAGTGGACCTTTACCCCCTTTCACTAAAAATCACATCAACATGCAGCTCTGCATGCGGATATGAAATCATCTTACATTCATTAAAGGAGAACTATGGTGAGACTGAAATATACTCATCCCCATAGTAACATGACACCAAACCTGTCACATATCGGCTTTATTGATCGAGAACTGAGCGATCACATACAGCTACTCGCTCAGTTCACGATCTTCGCCCTGAAAAGAGCGGTAACTGACCCCCAGCAGGGATTGCCCCATCCCCGCTCTGTTTCGCCAGTGCTGACTGAAAGGGGGGTGGCGGGCACAGCTGGTTCTATTTCTAAAGAGGCGGAGCCAGCTGTCAATCAGGCATTGTGATGGATCCTGACAATATTGTTGGGATCTTTCCCGGCTTCAGCGTGGTTCTGAACTGTCAGCTTATAGTGGGCAATAGCCTACTATATACTGAGTTTTGGGTCTCAGGAGGAGTAAATGTCCTCCTGTGACCCTAAAGCGAACGAACGCAAAAAAAATGTTTGCCCATCGTTCTCTTTTAAACTATTTTTTTTGCTTTTACTGTTATTCCACTTCCTGTTTGAGCAAGGCTCTGGTGATGTGGCCCTGGCCTCACAGATGCATTCTGGGGACATCACCAGAGCCTTCCAGGACAACCTCAGACTATTTTAATTAAATAGTTAATTTTATCACTAATCATTTCCACACAGGAAGTTCTCTGTAGGAACTTTCATTCTTCACCAAGAGCCAGGTGTGTAATAAGTAGGGATGCACTGATACCGATAATAGTATCGGTGCCGATACCGAGTATTTGGGTAAGTAATCGGCCAAATGCTCCCGATACTTATCCCAATACTGGAACTTCCGGTATCAGAAAGCCAGGTGGCGAGTCATTACACGCCGCCCAGCTTCCTGATTGGCCGGGAAGCTGGCTTAATGCTCCTTCATCACCAGGAAGTATGGAGCCGGTTTCCACAGCCAATCAGGAAGCCGGGCAGCATGTAATGACTCGCCGCCCAGTCTTCCTAATTAGTCGGGAAGCTGGTCAGTCAGGAAGCCAGCCGGTGAGTCATCACCCGCCCCCCGGCCTCCTGATTGGCCAGAAAGCCGACTCAATGCTTCCTCGTCACCTGGTGACAAGGGAGCGTGGAGACGGCTTCCCGGCTATTCAGGAAGCTGGGCGGCGAGTTATTACATGCCGCCCGGCTTCCTTAATGGGACTGCCGGTATCGGTGTGTACCGGGAAAAAATATATCGGTACAGAAAAACAGGTATCGGTGCATCCCTAGTAATAAGGCAGTTCTCTCCCAACCCTAATCCTACCTCTCTTCTGCTTTTATCAGCTGCTTAATACTAAATTTAGTAAACGCAGTTGTCTGTTAAATGAGATGGGAGAACACAGGGCAGAACTAGTAGCAGCCCCATCGTTCTGCACAGTGATGTGATCTGCTCCTTTTCCAAATGTATGAGCACGACATACCTAAAGGGAGATGTGGAAAAGCCCCATGACGTCTGAGCTGTGCAGACAACAGAGATCGAGCCAAGAGGTCATAGGAAATCCTAGGCCCTGCTCCGTCCCTGCTCAGCAGCTGGGAAACCTATTGAAAAGGCCACAGACCTATTTTTGCTGACATGCAAGCACGCACTATTTTTAACTTGCAGTTCCAGACTGTTTGCATAAAAAAAAATAAACCTGAGTTCTACGCCAACAGCTGCCAAAGCAATACCATTCAGGTTTGGTAAAAGTGTCCACGTGCAAAGAGAACAAAAGCGGATCTGACTTCTATCCAGTGTGTCAAATATCGCAACCTGGATAATAATCTGGATCGTTTCTATAATCGTCAGGGGTAGCGGAAGAGTCGACCAGCCAGCTATACGTACACGTTGAGTCCTGCGTCAGCCCGCAATACGCAGTCGAGGGAGCAGAGTCACTTTCTGCGCAGTGCGGCTGCGAGTGAATGTACTTGCTCACGAGATCCAGAGGCAGCGGCTTCAGTTGAACCTTCGGCTGAAACCTCGAAGACGTCAGTTCTTGAAGCAAGTGCCAACCTGCTTCGCTCTGTTCCTTGTTCTTTATTCCAGATACACAAGACGCAGGGTTCCGTTGCTCATGGGCGGGTAAGGCGTGACTTTTAGGCGGGGCCACCTTGGTTCCTCCTCTGCTGTCCTTAACTAAGGACACCCTGGTCTTGTTCTTCGCCCTGCCATGTGCGCTATCTCCTTGTAAACGCATATTGTGATCTGTGTCCTGAGATTGTAAGGCGTTTGGAGGAGAAAGCGAATCAACATGATTTCCTTTAGAATTTTCACTGCAGTCAAAGCCAAAAATGTCGAAAAACCGCGTCCGGCTCTTCTCCACAGCTGTGCTTTGATTTGAAGCTCTTCTGCTGCCATCAGGACCACACATGGGGCCCGATGGAATTCTACTGATGTCCTGCGAATCCTCAAACTCAATTATAGTTTGGTCAGAGTCGTAGCCGTCTCCATTGCTGGCAGAATCCACTTCATCTTCCTGACAATTTGGATGCATCTTACCCCCGGCTTGTAAGCTCTTTTGCGGCTCCTTCGCGGATGAGTCACTGTAGAAGAGGTAACTTCGGTCCTGCTGCATGCTTGTCACACTCTTATCTGAAGTACCTGAGCAGAAATAAAAGTTAAAGCGGATGTAAACTCAGTCATGAAAATCTTCTATAAAAGTTTAACATGGCATTTCAAAAGAATTTCTGCAAATGTTGTCATCACTGGTAACCCTGCCATGAAGGTCCTTGTTTAGACACTTCCTGTTACAGGGTGATAACACTCTGTCCCAGTTCCCTAAATGCTCTGTGTTGTCACATGGGCTTCCAACTGAGACTACAAGTAGCTGATTGAACACACATCGAGCAGGCACGGTGCACTGTTGTTACCATCAGGAAAGCCACAGCCATTGCTGGAATACTTGTAGACAGGAAGTGGCTAGAGCAGCAGCACTGAGATGCAACAAACGATGAAATAAAGGCGAATACAAGGGCTTTACTTTTAAAAAATGACAATGGTTTTTGATTACACAGTGCTTTAGAAATATAAATGTCATTTAGTTAGGGTTTACATCTACTTTAACAAAGAGAATATGTTCAATTTTTTCCTTTTACAGTAAACTCTCTCCGGTATTTAACCAACCAGAACTCTCATCTAACCAGAAAAAAAAAAATCCCCTGTGTACTCACTGTTCTGTGGCATGTACTATCCTGGAAGTGATTGTGCGCCTATTTGTCTTAATTTGCTTTTGATTACTGCATTTCAGTATTATATGAAGTCAATACAGAGTTTATGTTATCATATGGGGTAAAGTATTGGGTATAGTATGGAGTATAGTATGGAGTATAGTATGGTGTATAGTATGGGGTATAGTATGGGGTATAGTATGGAGTATAGTATGTGGTGTATTATGGAGTATAGTATGGGGTATAGTATGGAGTATAGTATGGCGTATAGTATGGGGTATAGTATGGAGTATAGTACGGGGTATAGTATGGGGTATAGTACGGGGTATAGTATGGGGTGTATTATGGAGTATAGTATGGGGTGTATTATGGAGTATAGTATGGGGTATAGTATGGGGTGTATTATGGCGTATAGTATGGGGTAAGGCATTAGTTAGACCTATTTTTATTAGTAACTCTCAAGCAACCAGAAACTACATTTATCCGGAATCTACCAATCCCCATGGACGCCGAATAATGGGGAGTTTACTGTATTTGCATTAAACTGTCCCGGTATATTCTGTATTTTATTTGCAGCCTGTAGATAAAGCTCTTTTCACACTTCACAGGTTTTGCTTGTCCTTGTTGAAAAAAATCAAGACTTCAAAAATATACCCAGATACGTGTGAATATGTCAAAGCGGATATCCCCATCTCTGCCTATTGCTCCTTCAAGGTTTCAATCCGAGGCTGAAAGGAAATAAAATAGATGCTTCCTCTATATAATTTTATTCGTACACTGTTGAAACTCCATTCACTATGCTGCACAACATGAACATTCAAAAGAGTCACTGACCCATTTTATGTGATGGATTACTATGAAAAAAAGGAGCAGTGCCTGGCAGAGAGTCTGAAAGGGAGCAGCTTCTGATATGCGCCCCCTCTCCAGAAAACCAATAGTGCTTTGGGAGTCCAGTGTCATAGGTGCACCCTGTATTATATACTATATAGACAAAGGATTGTGGACATCTGACAATCACACCTATATGACCTTGTTTCACATCCTATTTCAAATCAAAAGGCATTAATATGGTATTTTCGTGTCCCCCCCTCTTACACAAGATTTTAAAGTGTGACTGTGAAGATTTATGTCCATTCAGCCAAAAGAGCATTCGTGGGGTCAGATATTGATTTTGGATGAATAGACATGGCTTGTGATCGGTGTTCCAAGTCATCCCAAAGTGTTCAGCACAAGTCCCACCACACCAAACTCATGAAACCATGTCTTTATGGATCTGACTCTGTACACATGGACACAGTGGTGCTGGAACAGAAAAGGGCCTTCACCTTCAACTGATCGGTTGGAAGGCTACAATTGTCTTTGTATGCTGTAGCATTACCAGTAACCCTTCACTGGAGACACCTGAGCTCAGTCATTCAGATGGTAGTCTTCATATCTTTGGCCATATAGTATATATTTATGTGTAAAACAAGATCTTAATTTAAATACTGTAGCTGCATGCAGTGCAAAGCTGTATTGACACAGTTGCAGCACTGTGGCTCAGTGGTTAGCAGTGCAGCACTGGGGGTTCCTCGGTTCAAATCCCCGTCAAGACACTATCTGCAAGGAGTTTGCATGTTCTCCCTGTGCTTGTGTGGGTTTCCTCCGGGTACTCCAGTTTCCTTTCACAACAAAGACATGCTGGAAGGTAAATCAACCCTGCCTGAGTGTGCAATAGGGGCCTTAGTTTGTAAGCTCCTGGAGGGTAGGGACTGAATGTGCACTATGTAAAAAGCGCTGCGTAAATTGCTGGCGCTATATAAATACCAATAATAAATAAAGTAGGGCTGTGCCAATTAACGATTAATTTCTCGATTAATCGTTAATTTTTTGATCGATTAAAATGTTTTTGGAAACTTTCTGCACGAGCGCCAGCCAAGGCATTGGCCTATACACATACAGCACAGCAATGAAGTAATAAAATAAACTAGGATCACACTAATCCAGCACGTTATTATTCTGAGTTGCCCCACTCAAGCGGCGGCCATATTGAGTGGGGCACGTGAGATTAAGAACGTGCTGGATTAGTGTGATCCTAGTTCATTTTATTACTTCATTGCTGTGCTGTATGTGTATAGGCCAATGTAGTTGGATCTGTATGTGCGTTATAATTAATCGAAATTAATCGATTAAAAAGAATTTCGATTAATCGAACACGAAAATTTGAATCAGTAACAGCACTAAAATAAAGTTATGGGGGGATTATGGGAACAGTACAATCTCTACTGTTTTTAGGATAACATTCCTTTGAAAACAAAATTCACAGAATGTTTAGGAAAACAAGTGACACTTTATTATATAGAAAGTCAAACGTTGTCGTCTAACACATAACACGCATAACGTGCAGCAGGTACATCTCACCAGTAAACTAACATCTAACTAGTAAACAGTTCTTCCAAAGAACAGCAAACAACTCACAAAGTAAGTGAACATAATATTTGGCCTCTCGGAGGTGACGTAACACTCTGGGCTCCTGGCTGATAACGTATTATAACCCTGAAACTAGCAGACTGGATCCCATCTTCCTTCACTTACTCAGTGAGACGGGAGGCACGGGGGTGTATGCAAGGTCTTCCCTCTCCAGATGAGACTGCTCTGTGGTTTTAGGGGCCTTGGGAAAAAAAGAAAATGTAAATTAAAAAAAGGAACAAAAAAATGGTAATTTAAAAGGGAACGTATAGTCAATACTTCTTATAATTTTGGATAGAGTTGGGATATATAATTATTAGGGATGCACCAATACCGGATTTTCGGTATCGAGTATCGATACATTTTTTTTTTGGTACTCGCAGATACAAAGTACCGATATCAGTGCCCCCATTATCAGGAACCTGGGCGGCGGATCATGACCCATTGCCCGGTTTCCTGATGGCCTGGGAAGCCGGTGTTCTATCGTAAGGTGCCGTCCGGCTTCCTGATTGGTTAGGACGCCAGGCTGCCTAGCAACAAGTGAAGTCTGCTTCCCAGCCAATCAGAAAGCCAGGAGGCGGGCCATAGCCTGGCATTGGAAGTATTGGAGCATTTGGGCGAGTACTCATCCAAATACTCGGTATCGGCGCCGATACTGATACTAGTATCGGTGCAGACCTAATTATTATATTTTATATTGCCCCGTTTGGTATAGTCACACTTTCTGTTTATTCTGGTGACCATTGTCATTGGGACAGAAAGTGATGGGAAATGCAATATTTCACAGATGTCAGTGAAATAGGGGAAACTTTCCAATGGGGGACAACTGCTTAAAGCTAAACGTAGGCACATTTATGCTGGTGTACCTCTGGCTCCGGTTCTGTCCGGCATCCTTCTCAGCTCCCGGCAACCTGTGATGTCAGTGAGCTGGGCGGGATGCAGGCCAGAGCGTCACAGATTGCCAAGAGCTCTTAGCAACCTGGGATGATCTGGCCAGATAGGGAGCAGCAGGCACACCTGCCACCCCTCTCCCAACGTGACCCAATGAGATGCCACCTGAGGCAACTTCCTTATTATAGGGACAGCCCTGCTTCCTACTTTATTCAAGACCTTAAAAAAAGTTTTGGCTACACATGCACATACATACACATGCATATACTATCATATTGTAGCTTGCTGTAAATAACAGACCGATGCAGGGTGCATAAAAGATTAGCAATCCAGCTCCAGGGGTACAACACCTCTCCAGCAAGTCAAAACTACTGCCAGAAGGGAGTGAGTAAAAGTTTTACTGTCTTTTTAAAGTAAAATTATGATTTCCAAGTTTGTATGTAACATTTCACACGCAACAACTCAACATTATGCAGTAGAACGCACAATGCAAAATGCTCTGCTGTTGTAAAATCTCACTTTGTCAGTTTTTGCAACAGCAGATTGTTACACTCATATGGGCCTAGTTGTAGAAGTCTTATGATTAAGCCCATACGGGTGAAACGCGTATCGGGTGGGCAGCCACAAGGCAGTGAATCCAACCATGCTGGAATTTGCAAGCTCCACGGATTAAAGCTTTGTACAGGTTAATAGCGGTGTGTGGCTTTTTTCCCCCCGTACCCTGCAGTTGTTCAGAGTGGATGGCTCCTGGCAAGCACCCAGGTGTCGGATACCAGTGTTGGATGGAGCAGTGAGGTTCTCTTTTTGTACATATACAAAAAAGCAGAAGGGTATAGGTCTCATTACCTCTGCATTACAGTATCAGCTGTCTGAGACCAAAGGGTATGGAGAGTGGGGTTATCCAGCGCTTCCATATGCTACCAGGAAGCATCGGAACATACTAACTAAACTACAAATCCCAGAGGTATTTTTTTACTACAGCAGGATGTGTTTGTTGGAGGACATTGCATATGATAATGAAGTGTAGCAGAGGCAGAGTATAAGGATGGCCGTACATTATTAGATTTTTTTCATTGCGCCTTCAGATTTCTCCATCTACGTTTAATTTCATACCTCTTGATCAAGAACTGCCTGCAGCCGGTAGAGAAACTCCCAAAGAAGTTTGTCCAAAGCCTTCAGGTACATTTCCCCGTATTCTGCTTCCAGTCTTGTCTGTAGGGACAAGGAACAAAAAATAAAGTGGTTATATTTCCTGAAAGCTGAACTCATACATACGTCTAGTTTACTAATTTGTACTGAGATTGTAGTCCATCACATGAGTGAGCTTGGAGTGGTGACTACTTTACAACACACACAGGGACCCTGGGGAACAAAAGTAGTCACCCCCTCCAGAAGGAAGGACAGTGTCGGCACCAATTCGGAGATGAGTGGAGGATCTACAGCCGAGTGATACACAAATAAGAGACATTTTTTGTTAATAGTTCAGGCATTTCTAACATTTAGTTCCGGAGTTTAGTGTCACTTTAATCATACCTCCAAGTAATCCTTCCGAAACTTTTCATCCCGGATCATACGATATACCAACTTTCGAAAGTGAATCTTACTTTGCTGCACTTTTGCTACATCACGAGGGGGCTGCAATGTGAAAACATATAGTGAGAAAGGTTCATACAATGTGGAACAGTTTACTTCACTATTTAATCTGCTCTGTGCAAACTAACAACCCATAATGACTAATTACAATCTCACATTGATCTGACTACAGAAAGAAAACCTCTCTATAGGTTACTGGACACTTGATTGTGCCAGTACTTTTTATGTATATGCATCCTTAAAGTGACATTGTCACAAATGTTTTCCTCCCCCCAAAGCTGCTTTAAAAGGACTTACCTTAAATGATGCCTCTTGATCCTTCCTCTTGTATTCAGCATTACCTCCAGCATTGGTGCCAGTCTCTGATCCAGTGCAGAATGCTGTTTCTTCCTGTCCCGTGGTGTCTGTCCGACGTGCACGCACCCCGCTGCGTGCATTCACCTCCACTGTGTCTCTCCTCTTCTCCCCACCAAAAATCTCTACTGCACATGCATCCGCCCCATCATCCTGCACTGCGGCTCGAGAAGCTTTAGATGAGAGCGAGCAGCGTAGACAGAGGTAAGTAATTACCTTTTTAATAATGTTTTTGCATATATCTACTGCTTGCCAGCAGTAGATATATGCAAAAAAAAAAAAAAGAATGAAAAAAAGAAATGTTTGCAGAGCAGCTCTCTCAGTGAACACCTGAGTTTTAGATTTGCACTGTATTATGCACGGGAGAAGCTACCCCCGCACTGCAAGGGTTAAGTGCTTGTTTTGGTCTAGGGAGGAAAATAACAAAGTTATACTCATCTGATCCTCGGAGCCAGCCGGCTGTCACAGATGATATGTCCCTCGGCATCCTCATGTCCTATACACAGTGTATAGAATGTGATGACTCAAGGACCTTAGACCGCTGCAGTGGAGGGGGAGCAAGACTGCAGGGACTGGTCTAAGAGGAAGCCAGCTCTGAGCATCAAGTGAGTAAAACTTTCTTCTCCTGAACGGAAACCAGAGAATAACCGCACTCCGCATGATACAAGCGATGAATCCTCTGTTTATTGATGCAAAATCAGGTGTATGTCACAGCAAGCTCCCCAGACAAAAGAGCAAACTCGTTTCACCAATATGGCTTCCTCCCTAGACCAAAATGAGCACTTAACACTTGCAGTGCGGGGGTAGCCCCACTGCATGGGTTAAAAAAAATCCCCAGAGTTCTTCTTTAAACTCAGGAGTTACCAATGCTGGTTGTCAAAATACCTGTACAGTTTGGATGCAGGCATTGTTCAGGTATTTTGAGAGCCAGCGGGGCCGACTAGCAAGATACTGCAGCTTGGCCCAGTGGGAGATTCCTCCATCCACACAGTGCAGCGTAGATGGAGGAATCTGTTTCACTTTTTCCATCTGACCATAGAAAATCTGCAGATAATCTATAGGTTTATGGCCAGCTTTAGAAGAACCTCCTGGCACATAATGAAGAAACATCTAGCAATGCAAAGAAAGTAGAGCAAGCAACTACAAATACATACACTACAACACAGGCACCACCTGCTGGTGAATCTAATGACTATTATCCAGGCCAAGTCACGATCTGCAAGGAGTTTGCATGTTCTCCCTGTACTTGCCTGGGTTTCCTCCGGGTACTCCGGTTTCCTCCCACACTCAAAAGACATGCTGGAAGGTTAATTGGCTCCTGTCTGAATTGGCCCTGTATGTATGCATGTGAGATAGGAACCTTAGACTGTAAGCTAATTGAGGGCAGGGACTGATGTGAATGTATGTAAAGTGTAAAATTTACAGCGCTATATAAATACCAATAAAAATAATGAATAAGAATTTTGGTTGAAAAAGGTAATTTTTGCAACGTTGTGTGTAGTGAATCTGATATCGTAGAACTTATTGTGATGGCACAAACAGTATTCGGATGTCACCATCATTTTAATGATGTCAAATCTCTTTCATAATTGATATTGTGACGGAACACTCAGTATAGTGATTTCAGTCAATATTCCGGTACCACATGTGCATTATGAAGTCATAGCAGGTACTGAGATGTCACAGTATGCCTGAGTACTACACCATCCATGGCTGCCCCTACATAATAGATGACAGGAGCAGTCAAATTGTTGAATAGATATGGTGCATATGATAGAAGAAGAACACAAATATATCAGCACTTACAGTGGTGGAGTCATCTGGACAGACAGGAGGGAAGTGAAGGTTCAATGCTTCAAGAATGTCCAGCAAAGGCCTTTTGTCTTCAATCATGTTGAGAACTATCTGTAGGAAACAGAGAAGTATTACCAGTGTGACCCAAACCTGGTGAGAAGCACCAACAGAAAATTACGGTGGCTTTAAAGATCCAGAAAAAGCTGCTTCCCTATAGGAAAAGTTAAAGCCCAACTCCAGTTCCCCCACCACCCAGTCGTCCTGCCACCCTTGAACCTCCATCCAATCGTAATTTTTAAAAAAAATGTCATATACATTCCATTAACCCAGCTGCCTTCTGGCCAATCACGTGTGTCCTTTCTCCTCTAGTGGCGGCAGTGGGAGGTCTTCAATGCCTCAGGAAGTCATTACATTAGTGTTATTGTGTGTACTGTGAGCCCAGGGTGACATGTCTATGACACCTTGGATGCATAGGAAGTGGGTTCCCACTGGCCATCCTTCAGCCCAGAAGAGGGTTGGCGCTGGACTTTACTGGAAGGGGACAGCAGAGGAGAACCTTTTTTATTTAAGGTATTGGTTGACTATTTATTTAAATATGAAATTAAAATAAATTAAATAAATAAATATAAAATGAAATAAATTAAATTAAATTGGGCTTTAAAAAACCTAACCCCGGCTTGTGGCCTTTTGTTTACATGAGTTACCCATGCCCTAAAAAATTGCCAAGCCCCGCACAAGACAGGCAAGAAGATCACACACTCACCTTGCCTCTTAGGCCTGTGCTGAGCCTGGCATGGTGCCTATAGCAGAGCAGACCTGGAGCCTGTTTATGAGTTAGCTCCAAGAATTCTACAATTCTCTCAAAGTTCTTGAAGTCTCTTCTCTGCATCACCAGCCAGACAGCCTTGGCCACAAGCGAAACATCATGCTGACATGCCCCTAAAAAAAAGTAAATAAATATAAAGGAAAGTCAAAATTCAATACCAACATAAAGTTAAACCTTCTGCTCTCTCTTAGTGCCCCCTCCACATACCGATCCTTTCCCTCCCCCATCAGTGTCCCCTCCACCCTCATAAACCCTTCTGCCCTCCCTCAGTGCCCCCTGCACAACTCCATCCTCACAAAGAGCCTTCTGCCCTCCCCACCCCCTCCACCCTCATACAGAGCCATCTGCTCCCCTCAGTGGCCCCTGCCACCCTCATACAGAGCCTTCTCCTCCCCATCAGTATCCCCTCCACCCTCAGTCACAGCTTTCTCCTCCCCATCAGTGTCCCCTGTACCCCTTCCACCCTCCTACAGAGCCTCTTCCTCCCCATCAGTGTTCCCTCCACAGTCTTCTGCTCCCCATCAGTGTCCCCTGCACCCCTTTCACCCTCCTACAGAGCCTTCTGCTCCCTTCAGTGCCCCCTGCCACCCTCATACAGAGCCTACTGCACCCCTCCTCTTACCCCTTCACCCTCTATTATTATTACCTGCATTGGTTCGGCTCCTACTACTCATGTCAACACACCGCACAAGTCCGGACACAGCTCTCGAACGGGCCAATCAGCGTGTCGTACACGAAATACCGGCCAATCCAGTTCCGGGCACCGCACAGGGGCTCGTCCAATCAGCTGCCGCTTGCACTGTGCGCGCGCGCTACGATCTTTCCCCATACCTCACGGAGCGGGGTCGCGCACACTCTCCTCGGAGCTCCATACGGGGGCGCGCGAGAGAAATAGTTTCGCTGTCGGGGGTGCGCTCAGGTGTGTTGCGGCGTCGGGGGCGCGCTCCCACAGGTAGAGGAGTTTCGGTTCCGGCTGTTTGCTTAGCTTCGCGGACGATAAGAGGGAGCAGAGGTGAGTAGAGGAACGAGAAGGGATCAGATAAGTGGATTAAAGGAGCAAAAGTCCGCATGGGGGTCCAGTGTGGCTTACACACATGACATGTTTCATTGGGGGGGACACATATTGCTGGCAGGACATACTCCATGCAGTCTGTACCCGCTGCTCCATGCAAACACAGGGCAGATAGGTGCAGAATTTGCCAAATGTATAATATTGTGGTGCTCGTTGCAGCCAATCGGCTTTCAGCTGCCACTTTAGCAGTGAAGAGTTGGAAATGAGACAAGGATTCTGATTGGTTGGTATGGGCAGCAAGGCGCGCTGTGTTGTACTTTTCATACACCAGGCCTAAGGGAGCAACAGGTATGGCCGGTATTTCTGGAGGGCCATGAACTCTGCTGACCCCCATCAGGGAGTTTTCTATACCTGGCTACTGTCCTTCCTAGAGATCCCCATAAACAAATGTAGTTAAAGGTGAACTATGGGATGAGCAATATTATCCAAATACAAGTCATGTGACCCTTCCTTCAACCTCGGTGAGCTTTGTGTATTTCTTCCAGATCGGTGCTGTCATCCACTGTGAGACTTGGAGCTTCCTGTAATAAAGACCGGTCACTGCTGCTCTCTCTCCTTGTGCAGGGTGACTGGTCTTGTCTCCGCCCCCTCCTGTAATAAAGACCGATCACTGCTGCTCTCTCTCCTTGTGCAGGGAGACTGGTCTTGTCTCCACCCCCTCCTGTAGTTTCCTGCAGGCAGCCTGTAGTGGGTGGGGCCTGTGCAACCCCTCCCACAGCTCTGGTCTCTGCACAGGTTACATGCAGAACAGTGATGATGTCATGGCTACTTTTGCGTGGTCATATCTGAGTTAAAAAAGTCATTTAGTGTATTTAAGTTCTACGGGCACACCTCGGTGCGATGCGCTGATAAAACGGACTGCATGTGGTTCTTTTTTCATCACAACGCACCGCAGTGGTGTGATCCAAGCCCATCTGGAACAAGGCAAATTGCTTTGTCTTGTGTTGTGGTTGCGCTAGAAAAACTGTTCAGCTCAGCCGCAATGTATCTTGTGTGAACTGGCTCTTAAAGGGTTAGTTTACCAATGACAGCTGCAAAGGATGACCATTGCCCACTAATGACAGCCGCAAGGATGACCATTGCCCACTAATGACAGCCGCCAGGATGACCATTGCCTGCCAACAGCAGCTGCAAGGATGATCATCAACTGCCACAAGGATGACCATTATGCGCCAACAACAGCCACAAGGATGACCGTCGCCCACCAATGACAGCCACAGGAAGACCACGGCCTGCCAATGACAGCCACAGGAAGACCACAGCCTGCCAATGATAGCCACAAGGACAACCAAAGCCTACCAACAACAGCTGCAAGGATGACCATTGCCCACCATCAACAGATTTAAGGAGGACCATCACCAGCCAACAACAGCCATAAGGATGGCCATCACTCGCCAATTACGCCACGTTGATGAGCAACAACGGCCACAAGGATGACCATCGCCAGTCACAGGGATGACAAACGCCAGCTGCATGGATGACCAACACCAGACACAAGGATGACCAACGACAGCCACAAGGATGACCATCGCCAGCCACAAGGATGACCATCGCCAGCCAACGACAGCCACAAGGATGACCATCGCCAGCCAACAACAGCCACAAGCATGACCACCTGCCATAAACTGTGCCAAACAATAGCCTTCTCTCTTCCTGGATGGCATCCCAGAAGAAAGAAGAGATTCTCATTGGTCAGTCTGGTCACATGGCCACGCTGACCAATGACCGCTTGCTATTGCAAGCATTGTGTTGCTATACAGCCTATTGAAGTGTTCAGGTGTTGGGCCTGGGTGGTGGGCGAGGGTCAATATTGCAGAGGAGATGGGGTAGAAAGGGGGTATGGGGTGGGGGGTTGTGAATTAGTTCACCTTTTCTATGCGACGGTGAACTTACCCTTTAAAGCAGCAGTGGGCACCCTCCAGCCCTTCAGCTGTTGTGGAACAACAAGTCCCATGAGGCATTGCAAGACTGACAGTTACAGGCTGGCATGATGGTATATATAGTTTAAAGCACAGCTGGGGGGCCGGAACTGCCCACCCCTGCTGGTTTATTATCAGCTCTATCAGACAGGCAATCCCAATGGCCAGCAGAAGTAGGTCACATGACAGGCTGACAACACTGTTGCTATGTTTTAGAGCAAGCTCCCACCCCCTGGCAACCTATACATTAGTTCACCTTCATTAGCCAAAACAAAAACACATGACGCATGAACATAACGCCAAACAAAACGCATGTCAATGCAGACACACACGTGTGAACGTAGACTGATAGATTTGTCTTTGGGGGTATTGTGTTGTTTCCGATGCAGCGGGTTATGACATGCGGTCTGTTTTGATTCAAGTAGTGCTTGGGGGTTCATTTAAAATTTGGATCATTATAAACAAATTCCGTTTATTTTGCAGTAATAAGAACTCCTCCTCTTCTACAAGAAAGTTCTCTTTGTAGGGTTACTGGCCCTTTAAATAAACCCTATTACTGTTTTCTGTTTCTGGATAGGAAAGGCCATGCTGTCCAGTTGGGTGTGTTCCCCCTCCATGTATTGTGTGCAGGAACGACCCCGCTGGGCTCAGCTCGCTGTTTTGTTTTTTTTTGCGATCTGCTTAAAAGAATTTTCTTCTAAAAACATTCACCACGGCGGAGAGGAGCGGGGTGCGTCCGTGGGAGAAGCAGATTTAAAGTGGATTGTGTAACTTCAGATTTTCCTACTTTCTTTTCTTTTATTTACAGGTCCGACCATGGTGGATTCTGGGCCCAATCCGGGCGGCGGGGAGGGCCAACCACCCAGGAAACACAGGAGTGGCCGCACGGGCGCGCACGACAGGGATTCTGAATTCTCCGACGGCAACGAGAGGAACCAGGACGAGCGGAGACAGAAGCGGCACCGAGACAGACACCAGAACCATGAGGAGCGAGGCCCGCCAAGACCCAGGGAAGACGTAGAGCGCAGCCAGACCCAGGAGATAGAGAAGCGCCGCGAGGCGAGGGGGCAGAGCAGGCAGCAGAGGGACCCGGGCAGAGACGGGCGCAGAGAGAGAGATCAGCGTTATGAGGATGGCGGGCAGAGCCGCAGTCACGGTGAGAGAAGCCAGAAATATCCTGAGAGCGACGGGCAGAGCCGCAGTCACGGTGAGAGACGCCAGAACTATTATAAGGACAGAGAAGACTATAGGTCAGAGAAGAGTTACAGCCAGCACCAGGGAAGAGAAGATCATCATAAGGAGAGAAGTCAAAACCGATACGATGAACGGGAAAGACAGCAGTATGCACGTAGTCCAGACCGACGAGACTATCCCGCACACAGCAAAATTCCAGAACATTACAACCCATCAGAGAGGTGAGTGCAAGACTCGGGTGACCTCAAAGCAGGGGTAGGCAACCTCAGCAGTCCAGCAGTGGTGAAATCCCACTATACCTCTGGGAGTCATGCATGTGGCTGTCAGAGTCTTGCAATGCCTCATGGGACTTGTAGTTCCATAGTAGCTGGGAGTGCCGAGGTTTCCTTAAAGCTTATCTAAAGCCACGAACAATAGTTTTATTATAATGCAGCTTACCAGTCATTAGATGTGACGGCCGCATTCATAATTCTTTTTTCACCTGGTGACCCTGCCACTTCCTGTACGAGGGTGACAATGCTCACTCCACTATATGTATCGAGGAGCAGCATTGTCACCCTAGGCTGCTCTTCTGATTCGGATGACGTCTGCCCCTCTTCATCTCTGTTATGACTGGGGCGGGGGCACTTGAAGTTTGCAGACGATAGCTAAAAAGGCAACAAACACGGCCTGTTCTGTTCACAGGAAGTGACAAGGACACTGGATTTTTGGCAGAATTTGCAGAAAAAAAGAACTGGTAATGTGCAATATATAGCATTTTTGTTCTTGGGCTTGGATCTCCTTTTATGTTACTGGCATTTATTTGTTCTTGTCTGTGACCCCACGGGGGAGATTTTCTTTTACTTCCTGTCCCTATAATGCCCATGCAAAGAGTGGGGAGGAAGTGGTCACTGGGACAGGAAGGCGCAGAATAATAACAAAATTGTCAAATTGTAACCTCGCTCAGTTCACTGTGTGTGTCTCTGGGTAGTAGAAGCCATGTTCCTGGTATAACCACTTCAGGATAGGACGTTTTTTGGCGGTGGGCAGTCCTGAAGTAATAGGGAGATGGTCACGATATTATGGCTGATCGGTGTATATTCTGGTTTGTTATAGTGCGTTGGCAGTCTGTTCCAATAAATGGGCTGACTTGCCGCAACGTTGGTTATAACATATACACAGGGATCCCAACCTGAAAAAAGCAATTTCAGAGAGGTGCCCTTCTCATTTCCCCCCCCCCTGAAATGAGAAATGATGGCAGATAGCACAGGAAGCAGTAGCTTCCCGTGCTATCTGCTTTTTTTTTTTTTTTCCCTCCAGTATTCTGACAGCTGCTGCCGTCGGAATGAAAAAAAAATACCCAGCATAGGAATGCATAGCTAGATTTCTATTGGCTATTTCACTTTGCAATATCCAATAGCAAGCTGGCTATTGCACCCGCCCTCTGCTGCTGTCAATCACTAGAAGAGGAACTGATGGAGAACTTCAGGTACCCCTCTGCTGATTGACAGCAGCAGTGGGCGGGTGCGATAGCTAGTCTGCTATCTGCAATTGCAAAGTGAAATAGCCAATAGCAATCTAGCTATGCATTCCTATGCTGGTTTTTTTTTTTCTCTCTGACTGACGACGGCCGGCGGCCCCGATGTCAGAAAAAAATAAAAAACGGATAGCAGGGAAAGGTTTACTCTGCTAGAGCGAGCAAAGTACACCTTTCCGGGAGAAAATATGTTTCTCTCCCGGGAGGCCGGGAGCTGCTATCTAATAGCGGGAGACTCCCGGAGTGTCCGGGAGAGTTGGGATGTCTGTATACACGAAGGGGGGACTATTATTAAAAATAATAATTGGAGTTCTGCTGTGCACAACGTGAGGATGGCACTGCACAGCCCCAGAAAATGCTGGAGTTTCTCTTTAATCTGCAGAGGGTGAAGTCAGCATTCTTCCGACATGGAGTGCCCCAAATCTGGTGAGATGATGCTACAGCACAGTGCAGTAGTATCTTCTTGTAAGATTTGGGCTACTCAACATACCCTTGGATATCACCTGAGGGTTGCTGATGTCACCCCTAATCCCTCCCCCCCCCCCCTTCTCAAACAAGTGTTTTGGGGGGTTTTTTAATTGGGGGACTAGCTAAGTAACTGCAAGGTTCACTTTAAGCTGGAGACACCCAAAGCAATCTGCACTCTAGCAAGATTTGGTGGCTTAGTGGTTAGCACTTATGACTTTCAGCACTGTGGGTCCCCGGTTCGTATCCCAGTCAGGACAGACTCTGCACGGAGTTTGCATGTTCTCCCCGTGCTTGCGTGGGTTTCCTCCGGGCCCTCTGGTTTCCTCCCACACTCCAAACACACGCTGGAAGGGTAATTGTCTCCTGTCTAAATTAGCCCTGTGTGTATGCATGTGAGATAGGGACCTTAGATTATAAGCTCCTCGAAGGTAGGGAGTGATGTGATATAAATACCTGTAATAAATAAATACAATGTCCTTGGCAGTCTGATGGTTGAAGCAGTTTTTATACTTCAGGTGCAAAGGTGTGAGATGTTCTAGATATTATTATACGGTCCATAAATGTCTGAAGCCGTACATATTACAATCGGATTTACAAGGTCCTGTAGGTATCTATGTAGGGCTTGCCTAGTTAGATATAAATTAATCGGATTGGTTAGGTAGACTTTCATACAATTTGTGTAAATCTGTGTGCAGAGATTGTACAATCGAACTGTAACATGTATGGACAGTCTTAGACGGCAACTTACACAGAGAATTCATGTTTCTTCTTGTTTTATTTCCCCATAGATCATTTCCTCCCGATGGAGCCCAGATGCATGACCTGGAATATTATGAGGAGACGGAAGGAGGAATCCTGGACTGCCACAAGTGCAAATACCTGTGTACAGGACGAGGTAAGGAGGGTGATTTCAGCCGCTGTCATGTGATCAGTTGCAGCAAGAATGCAGTTAGAATTAGATGGTTATATCCAGACAATTGCTTCACTAGCTCTGCTGTCTACAAATTCAGCCCAATGCTTCTGTATCATAGCTGTTTAGACTGTGCAGTATAGGAATGAGGAGCCCTGCTTGGCTGTAACTGTGATTGGCCTCCTAAGCTTACAATCAGAAAGGAGTCGGTACTCAAGGCCAAGGGGGCCTTTACAGGTAAATAATATGCATAAAATACAATGAATGCTCATATATAGTTTTATGGGATATATATATATCCCATAAGACTATATATGAGCATTCATTGTATTTTATGCATATTATTTTTGAAAGTAATTATTTCTGATAGTAAGCTTAGGAGGTATATATATATATATATATATAT